GATCCCAGGTCAAAACCAGCAGTCAGACATCCCTCTCACAATCCTGGACCACTGGCTCCTAATCACTCACCTGCCTGCCTACCTGGTCACCCCTAACTGCCCTCCTCCCCGCCGGCCTGATCGCCCCTCACTTCCTCTGCGTGCTGGCCTGATCACAATTATCTGCCCTCCACCCCCCCCCCACCAGTCTGGTTGCCCATAACTGCCCCCCGCTGCCAGCCAGGTCGCCCCCAACTGCCCCCTCCCTGCCAGCCTGGTTGCCCCTGCCTCCCCCACTGGCCTGGTTGCCCCCAACAGCACCCTCCCCATTGGCTTGGTCACCCCTGTCTCCCACACCAGCCTGGTTGCCCCCAACTGCCCCCCCACCGCCCGCTGGCCTAATCACCCCCAACTGCCCCCCTTGCCAGCCTGGTCGCTCCCAACTGTCCCCCTGCCGGCCTGGTTGCCCCTCATGGCCTCCCTGCCAGCCTGGTTGCCCCACGCAGCCTGCTGTTCAGTTGTTTGGTCGTCCCTCACTAATCCCCCTGCCAGCCTGGTCGCCCCACACAGCTAGTTTGTTCAGTCATTTGGTTGTCCCTCACTAACCCCCCTGCCAGCCTGGTCGCCCCACACAGCTAGTTTGTTCAGACGTTTGGTTGTCCCTCACTAACCCCCCTGCCAGCCTGGTCGCCCCACACAGCTAGTTTGTTCAGTCGTTTGGTTGTCCCTCACTAACCCCCCTGCCAGCCTGGTCGCCCCACACAGCTAGTTTGTTCAGACGTTTGGTTGTCCCTTACTAACTCCCCTGCCGACCTGGTCATAGGCAGTCATCTTGTGAGGGTGTGAGGGTTAATTTGCATATTACCTCTTTATTATATAGGATGGTATTTCTCTAGGTATAGTTTGTTCCTTGTGGTCAGTCACCTAACTTAAAATGCACATGAACAACCTGAATGATAAATGTTTCCATATTTTACCATATACATTTCAAGACCATCAACACTAGTTATCATTCACCTCAAAATATTGGTAAAAATCATGAAAGCTGAAGACTGCATGGGGATAATCATGAAAGATGCATGGGGATAATGTTTCTGTGATTCACTTAAATACATTAATACAATTGTTGTTTCAGAATCTACACCATCTGCTGCCACCCATTTAAAGAGGAAGGAAAGCTCTTGCCAATTTGGCTCAGTGGATAGAGCATCAGCCTGCGGATTGAGGGGCCTTAGGGTCAATTCTGGTCAAGGGCATGTACCTTGGTTGTAGGCTTGATCCCAGACCCTGGTGGGGGCATGTGTGAGAGGCAACCAATCGATGTGTCTCTCTCACACAGCTGTTTCTCTCTAGCTGTTTCTCTCCCTCTCTCTCCCCCCTTCCCTTCCACTCTCTAAAAAAACCCCCACAAAAATCAGTGGGGAAAAAAATGGCCTCAGGTGAGGATTAATAAAGAAGAGGAAGGAAAAAGACTTTAGAAGTCCACTATGTCAATCTTATTGGGGGGAAAAGAGCATGACTTTTCAGCCATTTGAGTCTCTAGCTTTTTGATAAGCCTTCAGAAGTTAATACAGATTCTGTAGCCAGATTGTCTAGACTCAAAGCTGGGGTTCTCTCTTTATTTGCACTATGACTGTAGGCAAGTTGTAACCTCTCTTGCCTCAGTTCCATCATCTATGATATTGGTTGGCAAAGTTTTTATGTAAAGCACCAGACAGTAAGTAATGCCAGGCTTTGGGGCTGCATATAGTATCTATTGCTTCTCCTTTTTACTTTCTTTTTTTTAAAGAATGCTTCAGTGGCCCTGGCTGGTTTGGCTCAGTGGATAGAGCGTCAGCCTGTGGACTGAAAGGTCCCAGGTTCGATTCCGGTCAAGGGCGTGTACCTTGGTTGCAGGCACACGCCCAGTTGGGGGTGTGCAGGAGGCAGCTGATCGATGTTTCTCTCTCATCGATGTTTCTGACTATCTATCCCTCTCCCTTCCTCTCTGTAAAAAATCAATAAAATATATATTTTTTAAAAAAGAATGCTTTAGTGGTTCTCAACCTTCCTAATGCCGCAACCCTTTAATACAGTTCCTCATGTTGTGGTGACCCCCAACCATAAAATTTTCGTTGCTACTTCATAACTGTAATTTTGCTACTGTTATGAATTGTAATGTAAATATCTGATGTGCAGGATTATTTTCAGGGGTCGCGACCCACAGGTTGAGAACCGCTGCTTTAGACTTCTGCTCAAGATGGCAGCATAGGTAAATGTGGTACTTGCATCCTCCCACAACGGCACTAAAATTACAGCTAATGTATAGAACGACCATCATTCAGAAACTCCTGAAACCTAGCTGAATGAAGTCCTACAACAAGGGAGTTAAAAAAGCCACATTGAGACGGTAGGAGGGATGGAAACCTGAAATAGTCTTGTTCCCCACCCACACGTGGTGGATAAAGATCAGGAGGGCTATCGCAGCTGTGAAGATCCCTCCTGAGGAGTGAAGGGGCCCCAGCCCTACACCAGGCCCCAAGTCCAGTGTTTCAGTGCCAGGAAGAGGAGTCCCCATAATTTTTGGCTATAAACACCAGTGGGAATTGAGGCTGAGGGAGACAGAGGCTCATGGATTCCCAGTAAGTTCCTATTAAAGGGCCCAAGCACAAACTTAGACTCACTCACTCTGAGCTCCAGTGCTTGGACAGCAGCTTGAAAGGCACCGAGGACATATGGGGAGGAACTGAATTATCTGGCATCAGGGCGAGAGCAGGAGGGGCAGCTTTCTCCCAGACAGAATAAGTACAATAACCATTTTCCAATAATTATAGTATTTTTTTTTCAGGCACAGAAATAAGAACCTATTTTAACATCCATTTAAGTGAAATTTGAATATCACTTTTATTTTTTAAACTGAGGGAATAATCAGAAAGCAGAAAATATGTACAAAGTCAGTTAAAATACTACAGTATTTTAAATGTGCGAGAATTACATGCAGAATGTATCTGTCATAGCTATTTGCAAGAGTAAATAACAATGTGGTGTGCCAAAAATTCCAAAGGAAAAAAATGACTTGAGGAATCAGGAGACAATTCCTGATTTTTAGCTGGCAACCTATAAATGAAAACAAATATATAAAACTCAGGCCTTTCATGATTTACAAAGCACAAGCTGAATAGGGCCATATATAAATATTTAAATGCAAAAATATAACAGGATGTTTTGAACATTTTATGAGGTGTTACATTGAATTGGAGAGCTTATAAAGTAAAATTTGTTACAGTGATGCCTAAACATGAAAAAGCACCTGCTTGAGCTTTAGAATGCAGTAAATTTTAATTGCATGTTAAATACAAACCCAATAACCTCAGCTTACACTAGCACACACTTACATGGCATCGTGTGGCTATTGTTGCCCAACTTGCTTCTACATAATCTTGACTTAAAAGTTTATAGTAAGAATTGATATTTATATTTGGAGAACATGAAATCAAAGGAAAAATATTCTCTTTTGTCTAAATATTTGCATAGGTACGAGTTAGTTTGTGGGATAGCAATTAATTATCAACCTAAGAATTATTTTTATCAGTCATTTATGCCCACAATTTAAAATCTGAAGTGTTAATAGACTTAAAACAAGCAAAAAGAAAAAAACCAAAAAACTAGTCCCTTATCTCTGACCACCTCCCATCCCCATCCTGGTCTCCTTCCACAGTGAGAACCTTTTCAATACTTTTAACTATTTTTATGGCAGACACCTCTATATTTCTAATATCTGTAATATTCTTGTTTCTTGAATCATCTGCTTTAAACAGAATGGTTCTGATTCCCAGCATCACCATTTACTAGCTCTGTGACCTTCACCAAATGACTTAACTTCTTTAGGCATCAGTTTTCTTATCTATAAAACAAATAATATAACGTCTCACATAAGGCTATTGTGAGAATTAAGTGATACAAAATCATGTGTGAGATATTTTGCTCAAAATGTAGTGATCACAGAGTAATAACTATTAGTGTTGTTACTGTACTGCATCCTCCTAAAATAGTTACAGAATACTAGTTTTTTTTGTTAAATCACATTCAGTGTTTTCATAATGTCCTTTTTATATGTGAGTCCACTCAATTAATGAGTCTCACTTTTTATCCTCATTAAAACAGTTTATGAAAGGCTGGCAAGCTAGCTGAAAATGCGGAACCAGTAGAATGTCCTGGATAACTTTGAACTTGACAAATTCCAAGTCACTGGGATTTCAGGACCGTGAGAAAGTATATTACAGAACTTTTACTGTAGTTTTAAAATTATTTTATTCAAATTTCTGAACATACCACTACCGGTTATTACGTCACATCTTTAATGCTCACCTTTTGCCTCTGTTTTATATCATTTCCACAGCTAAGTATGTTTAAGATGTTACACATCAAACATTCCAGTTTCTGTTTATATGCAATATTTTCCAGAATTGACACCGCGGCTTTCTACAGTTTCCCAGTGATTAATTTAAAACCAAAGCTTCTGGAGTTCATAATTCTAAGTGGTCTCTAAGTTTTTAGAATAATACAATTTGCATACTGTGGATACCTGAGATATGTCTAAAATTCTAAAGAACATTTATGTAGCAGTTTTTGTTCAGAAAAAAAAGTTTGGTCAGTCAAAGTGCTATAGTAAACTGGAGGAATTTTAAAGAAAGCCAGTTATAATTATTGAAGAATCGCACATTAATTTTAATGACCCAATCTTAGGATAAAATATTTTCATTCAGCAATGAGATAAAAAATTATATATATTAAAAAATTCTAAAATTCTGCCTCATTAAATTTTAAGTTCTCTGAGGATAAGGAATACGTTTAATTTATCTTCTATCACCATTGCATAGGATGGTGCCAGACTACTACAGGTGTAGAGCTATCCAATACTTATTCACTGGATAAATAACTTCAGCATAACTTGGTCTCAGGTTGACAAATATTTGACAGTAAAACACCAAATACCATATTAACACAGCATTATTTCAGCATAAACAAAGCACACTAGTTGGTACATTAGATTTTATGTTTTATTGATGGTGACATATAGTAAAAATCTAATATACATTTATCACCCATGGTCCCTTATAAATATTTAAAGATCTTTTTCACAAGCACAATCCCATTGCAGTCATGCTATAAGCTTTTTTTTAAGACAATTAAAAAATACATTAAAGATATCATAATGCACGATGAGATATTGAGATGGATTTTAACATTCTCATTACGAATAAGTGTAGACCTTTACCAAGAGGTTGATATTCTGGGGATCCTTTCTGAGGATTTATTTTCATATAATTAATGGCCAGATTAGCATACATGAAGTCTTATATTCTTATAAACTTTATTCAGAGTCTATAAATGAAAGCAGATTATAAAGTATTCTTAGATGCACCAACATCTTTAAAAATATTAATGTATTCAGTTTGCCTTAAGATATATTCCTTGAATTGACAATTGTTGAGGTTTCCAAATACTATCTTTTCATGTCTTCACAGCTTGGATCTGATCTGATAACAAAAACAGAAAGACATTATCGGTCTCTACAGGACATAATCTATTTAACATAACCTGAGACAAATCTATAACACAGTAGAAATCTATGTACATAGTTTTAAAAAAAGCACAAATCATACTATAGTTTTTATTTTTGTCACAGTTGTATATGCATAGAGCCAGTTAACTAGTTCTATATGATGTATAAAAATTAGTAGTCCCTTGCCTCATCTCTGTCCCTTTCATAGGCAACTACTTCCAACTCCCTTTTAGGTCATTACCTCTTTCTCAATAAATAATATTTGTATTACTTGTTGAAATACCAGTTTCTTCCATTTAATATGAGGCCTCAGTTCTTAAGTATCTCTATGCTGCTATCTGCAACCCACATAATGCTTTCAATACTCCCATCCTCCTAACCAAGTAATGTCGTCATCATCAATATAATGAGTCTGTAAGTGCTGGTCACAGCTGAGACAGGTAGCATACCTCGATTACCTTTCCTGTCTTCAACTACATTTTGTTTTCCCTGGAGTTAAGAATTGTTCCTTATCTCCAGCTCTGCCTCTCTGCTTTTTTATGTACCCAATACCACTTCAATCCCATTACTCTACACTGTTTAAATCCTTATTATTATGAAGCACAGTACAGAGTCCATCCATTTCACTACAGCCTTCCCAAACTCTCTAATCTGGACCAGTTTCCTCTGCTTGCCCAGTTATTTTCACAAGAGATCTTTCACTATCACTCTAGGATCTCCACTATCATCCAGGGGGTCCCCCCCCTTTATGCTTATTTTCCTCTTTCAGGACCCCCCACCCTTTTTCCCTTGGTTTACTCCCTTGTTTTTGAGGAGCACTCCTCTAAGTGGCTACGTTAGTAAAAGGTACAGAAAGTAAATTCTTAAGACTTTGCATGGCTGAAGATGTTTTAATTCCACAGTCACTGATACAGCCTGAGAACAATCCCACTTTCTTCTTTGACTGTTCCAGGCACTGCCCAATCATGTTACAGCTTCCAAGGGTTGCTACTGAAAAAGTTTGATGCTATTCTGTATCCTTATCCTCTCAGGAAACCTCCTTTTCTTCTCATGAAGTTTGTAGACTCTCCCATTGCCTTCAGTGTTGACTGTTATTAATGACGTGCCATGGTGTGAGGATATTTTCATCCACTACATTGAGCTTTCAAAAGGACTTTTAACTAAAAACTCATACTGGATCCTTCCGAAAAAGAATGGAATCAGGGCACAAAATGTTTCATTTAATATTCTATCTTTAACATTTCAGCCTTAAACTCTAAATAATAAAACTATGCTAAGCAAAATAAGCCAGAGAAAGATAAATATCACATAACTAGTGGCCCAGTGCACGAAATTCGTGCACGGGGGGAGGGGGGGTGTTCCCTCAGCCCAGCCTGCAGCCTCTCCAACTGAGGACCCCTTGGGGGACATCCTTCTCGCAATCTGGGACCACTGACTCCTAACTGCTCACCTGCCTGCCTGCCCCTAACCCCTCTGCCTGCCCCTAACCCCTCTGCCTGCCTGCCTGATTGCCCATAACTGCCTCTGCTTGCCTGCCTGATCACCCCTAACAGCCCTCTCCTGCTGGCCTGATCTCACCCCCAATAGCCCGCCCCTGCCAGCCTGATCTCGTCCCCAACTGCCCTCCCCTGCCAGCCTGATCTCGCCCCCAACTGCCCTCCCCTGCCAGCCTGATCTCGCCCCCAACTTCCCTCCCCTGCAGGCCTGATCTCGCCCCCAACTGCCCTCCCCTACAGGCCCGGTTTCCCCAACTGCCATCCCCTGCCTGCCTGATCTTGCCCCCAACTTCCCTCCCATGCAGGCCTGATCTCGCTCCCAACTTCCCTCCTTTGCTGGCCAATTTGGTTCTGATTGGTCAGTTCCTATGCCAGTCAGTGTCAAAAGCTCCACCTCCTAGACAGCCATTGGTTCTTCACAGCACCCACATTTGGTTCTGATTGGTCGGTTTCTATGCCAGTCAGCATCAAAAGCTCCACCTCCTAGGCAGTCATTTGCTCCTCATAGCACCCAAATTCTGTTCTGATTGGTCAGTTCCTATGCCAGTTAGCATCTCTGGACCTATCAACGGGGCCTGATCAGAAAGGTGGAGCTGATCAGCAGCCCAGGTGGAGGCCTGGAGAGAAATGGAGGTGTGGCTGCTGGCCAGATTGGGAGAGAAAGAGAGAGGCAAGTGCTGACCAAAAGCTGCCACAGAGGCAACAGATCAGTCCCTGTTTCTCTCTTCAGGCCTCTCTCTGGCCCTGATTCGCAGCCCCCTCAGCAGTTAGTGCTGGGGCACCACACCTGCAGGGGAAGCAGTCAGCACTGGGTTGCCATGGCAACCCAGTCCTGACTGCAGGACTGACTTCCGGTTGGCCGAGCCTCTGACCCAGGGTTTTTACATATTAGGATCTTACTCATTTGTGGAATATAATGAACAACATAAACTGATGAAAAATAGATTCAGAGATATAGAAGCATTGAACAGACCATCCAACCTCAGAGGGAAGGTGGGGCAGGGGGAGGGATAAGAAAGCAACCAAAGGACTTGTATGCATGCATATGAGCATATTCCATGGACACAGACAGTAGGGGGGTGAGGGTCTGTGCTGGGGGGCAGGAGCGGGCTGGGAGAGGTCAATGGGGGAAAAGAAGACATATGTAATATTTGCAACAATAAAGAATTAAAAACAAAACAAAACAACAAAATAAATAGGAAAGTCAATTTTCAAAAAAAAAAGAAAAAGGAAAGAAATTGGTCCAAGGGCCTTCTTGTTTATAATGCTAGGAAATTTTACAATTTTGGAAGTAAAATGAAGAGATAAACTCAGAATATCTTTCACAGATAGATTTATATAAAAACTTTTGACTAATAAGTTAGTTAAAGGCACAGACAAGTCTCTTGTATGCTGTTAGCTATTTTATAAAATAGGTTTTTGCCTTTTTTTGAATCCAGAGAGATAGGAGCATCAAATTGCAAACTATTTGCTATTACATAAGAAATATGAACAGAAGATCTATTCAAAACCAAACCAACATACTTTTTAATCTACGTACAAAGTTTCCTTCGTTATTAAATAGAGCATTTAGGTAAAAGGGTACATTTAACACTTACTGAGTGCTTTCTAATGGCAGTGATTTTAACACATACAGTGTTTCATTAAATCTGTACCACAATTTTTACATTTATTTTTTCAATTTTACAGATGAAGACAATTATCTACAAAAGAGATGTTAGTTAATAATAAGTAGTGGAATGAATCTCTACACTCAAAAGCCCAACTGCTTTTTAACTACTATTCTATGATGCCTACATAAAATTGGGACAACTAGCTAACCTTGCAGAAAACTGTTGTAACAGTTACATAAAAAAATATGGCAACACAAGGGCACAAAAGTATTTCCAACAACATACTCTCCTTATAAAGACTTGGGAAGTAAGATGCAAAGATAATGAATCAGGAAAGTCAGACACAACAATTAGGTGACAAGGCCAGAGAATTGGCAAGTGGCACAGTGATGTTGGATTGTTACTGACACCTAGTGGCCTCACTGTTACAAAATAAAAAATAAAAATAAAAATAAAGGAAAGAGAGAACTATTGATAGAGTGGAGAGGGCTGTGATGTAAAATTCAGATGACTGTATCAACCTATTTTTAGTGGTTACTGTGCTTTGAATTACTTTATGAACAGTAGTGGAGTTTGATCCATGCTATATCTTCACTGTGAGCAATAAGCACATGTAAATAAGAATTAAGGCTGAAAATATGCTTTTGGTGTCTTCTCTGGAATGTTCCTCTGCAACCTATGTTTATGTGGGAATCAGTTCCTTAACTTTCACTAATCTTTACCACAATCCAAGAAACTAACTTGGTGTGTTCACAGAAAAATCCTAATAGTTATTCTAGAATCACTAGAGGTTCTCAATTAAGTTTCACTTAATTATAAAATTATGACTAGAATGTTCTTTGCAGTTTATTTTTTAATGTTTTAACTTTTTAAAAAATTTTTATTGTTCAGATTATTAGTTTTTCCCCCTTTTCCCCCATACCTCCCCTCCACCTGGTTCCCAACCCACCCTCTTCCCTTACCCCTGCCATCCACTGTTCTCATCCTTAGGTGTACAATTTTTGTCCAGTCTCTTCCCGTACCCTCCACACGCCTTTCCCCCTGAGAATTGTCAGTCCACTCCCTTTCTATGCCCCTGAATCTATTATATTCACCAGTTTATTCTGTTCATCAGATTTTTTATTCACTTGATTTTTAGATTCACTTGTTGATATGTATTTGTTGTTCATAATTTTTATCTTTACCTTTTTCTTCTTCCTCCTCTTATTAAAAAATACCTTTCAGCACTTCCTATAATACTGGTTTGGTGGTGAACTCCTTTAGCTTTTTCTTATCTGTGAAGCTCTTTCTCTGACCTTTAATTCTGAATGACAACTTTGCTGGGTAGTGTAATCTTGGTTGTAGTTTCTTGCTATTCATCACTTTGAATATTTCTTGCCACTCCCTTCTGGCCTGCATAGTTTCTGTTGAGAAATCAGCTGACAATCATATGGGTACTCCCATGCAGGCAACTGTTTTTCTCTTGCTGCTTTTAAGATTCTGTCTTTTGCTCTTGGCATTTTAATTGTGATGTGTCTTGGTGTGGTCCTCTTTGGATTCCTTTTGTTTGGGGTTCTCTGCACTTCCTGGACTTGTAAGTCTATTTCTTTCACCAGGTAGGGGAAGTTTTCTGTCATTATTTCTTCAAATAGGTTTTCAATATCTTGCTCTCTCTTTCTTCTGGCAACCCCATAATTCGGATGTTGGTTCGTTTGAAGTTGTCCCAGAGGCTCCTTACACTATCTTCATATTTTTGGATTTTTTTTTTTTTTTGCTTTTCCGGTTGGGTGATTTTTACTTCTTCATACTTCAAATCTTTGATTTGATTCTTGTGATCCTCTACTCTACTGTTGGAACTCTGCATAATATTATTTCAGTCAGTGTATGCTTAATTTCTAGTTGGTCCTTTTTCATATCCTCGAGGGTCTCACTAGACTTATTGAGGGTCTCCCTAAATTTATCGCGGTTTCAAGAAAATTCTTGAAAAACCTTATAACAGTGGTTTTGAACTCTATATCCAGTCGTTTGCTTTCCTCCATTTCTGTCATTTGTGACCTGTTTCTTTGTCTCTGCATTTTTTTATGCTTCCCTGTGTTGGTAGAGTGGTTTTGTGTGCTAGGTGTCCTATAGGGCCCAGTGGCTCAGCCTCCCCGATTACCTGAGGTGGACACTACTGGTGCACTCCCTTGTGGGCTGTGTGCACAGTCTTGTTGTAGTTAAGCCTTGATTATAGTTGGTATCACTGGGATGAATTGACCTCCAGGCCAATTGACTATGAGAATCAGCTGTGTCTACGGTGAGAGAACTTCTGTGTTGGAGACAGCCTTATAGGGCAAGACTTGCTTCAGTGGGGCTTTGATGCTCACTGAGTCTGCCCCCTGAGTGTGTCCCTTATGGATCTGAGGAGTTGTAATCTGGATGATCCCACTCTGACCACTGGGTACACTGGCTCTTGGATTTCTAAGGAGGTGCTAATTTAGCCTCTGCCTGAGGCTACCCAGCAGGAGCTATGGAGAGATCTGCAGATTCCTCTTCTTTGTTTAGGGTTTGGAGGTGCCCAGATGAGGCCCAGCTGTGAAGCAAAGCAAGCTGCTGTGGGGCCTTGGGCCTTCTTTTGGAAGTTCTGGGTCTCTCTGACCCAGCTGCAGTTTGCTAGGTAATTTTAGATTGCAAATGGCCAGGCCTTTCATATGCAAAAGCCTCTGCTAGCAGCTTGGGTGGAGCGGGGTCTCAGGGAATCAACAGGGTGGAGCAAACAGCTAGGGCTTATCCTCAGCCCTGCCCTAAGAGACCCCACATCTCAGTGTCCCATGGTAATCGCTGCAAGCACCTCTGAGAGAAAGCCGCCCTTGAGTTCCACCCGCTTCCAGATAGTCCAGTTTTTCCCCGTATGAGTCTGGGTCCCCAGAGACTCGCCCTGAACTGGAGTTCAGAGCAGTCAGGAGCTTGAGACTCCCTCCCGATTGAAAAAGACAACCGCATCCTCAATTGCCAGCCCTTTCCAGTGCTCCTTCATACCTCTGCACTTTACTTCCGCACCTCCTCTGAGTCTCAGTGTGCTTTTCTCTTTCCTTCTAGTTGTAGAATTTCCACTCAGCCAGCCTTCCTGTGTTTCTGGATGATGTCCATTTTGTCTTTTAGTTGTATTTTTGAAGTGGTTGTGCAAGGCAGTAATTTCAGGTGTTTACCTATGCCGCCATCTTGGTTTCTCCTGTTTTAACTTTCTTAGTTTATTTCTTTTTTCTTTTTTCTTTTTTTAGAGAGGAAGGGAAGGAGGAAAGGAGAGAGGGGGAAAGAGAGTGAGAGAAGAAGGGGGGTGGGAGGGGGAGAGAGATCGATTGGTTACCTCCCACATGCATCCCGATATGGGATTGAACCCCAAACCTGGGTATGTGCCCTGATTGGGAATCAAACTGGCAACTTTTTGGTGTACAGGACGATGCTCCAACCAACTGAGCCACACTGGCCAGGGTGTTCTTTGCACTTTATTGGTAACTGTCATGATGTCTACATATGAGAAAAACCGATAATAGCCTGTGCAGTTAATTAAAATACCATATTTTACTAATACATGAAAAATATTTATCAGATGTACACTTAGTACTTTGAACCAAAGAAATATTATGTCATTGTATGGGTAAGCAGCTAAATATATATTAATTTATTCCCTGATATAGTAAGCTTGTCCAGACATAAACTTAATATTTGGTTCAAAGATTCAACATGACATGCAGAAGAGGAAAAAGAATCACACATAACTGTAATCAAAATGTTAGTTTAGCCCTAGCCTGGTGGCTCAGTTGGTTGGAGCATTTTGCCATGCACCAAAAGGTTGCAGGTGCCATTCCTGGTCAAGGCACATACCTAGGTTGTGGGTTCAATCCCCAGCTGGGGTGTGTATGGGAGGCAACTAATCAATGTTTCTCTCTCACATCGATGTTTCTCTCTCTTTCCCTTCCTGTCTCTCTAAAACAATAAAAACATATCCTCAAGTGAGAATTAAAAAAAGGTTAGGGAAGAAAGAGTTGATAGCCCAAGACTAAAACCTGAATTTATAATATATTGTTGTTCACCCTAATTAAGAGCAGGGAGATGCCTAATAGGAATGACCCTTAGTTGTTCTGCTCGTAAGCAAAAATTTCTTGGCCTGACTCTCAGTGTCCTGAAACTAAAGAACTCGGTTTCATTCATTTTTACTGCTCTTTGTGGGCCACTGTGCTTCCAGCGATTCCTGTAACTAGTAGACAATGTAAACTTAGGAAAAATACTATATCTTTTTATTTGTTTTTTTATTGCTTAAAGTATTACATATGCTCCTTTTTCCCGGACTGAGCCTCCCTCCCCTCTGCCACTCCCACCCCCTGAGGGCAAGCCTCCACCACCCCAGTGTCTGTGTCCATTGGTTATGCTAATATGCATGCGTACAAGTCCTTTGGTTGATCTCTAACCGCCCCCCTCCCCTGCCTTAAAATAATATATCTTAATTTATTCCTGATATAGTAAGCTTATACCAACATGATAGCTATAGCTATTTTTGATGAATAACAAATACAGCTGCTATATACAAATCAATAGAACACCAGTATTTACAATTCTCAATATGAGTGTTAAAAGTTGTGTAAATATGTTATATATAAACTAGAGGCCCGGCGCACGAAATTTGTGCAGGGGGGTAGGGGCAAGAGGATCCCCCTCAGCCCAGCCTGCGCCCTCTCGCAGTCTGGAATCCCTCTCGCAGTCCAGGACCCCTCACTCCTTAACGCCCTGCCTGCTCCCTGCTCCTTAGTGTTGCCGTGGAGGCAGGCAAGGCTCCCGCTACCACCACTGCACTTTCCAGCCATGAGCCTGGCTTCTGTCTGAGCGGTGCTCCCCCTGTGGGAGTGCACTGACCACCAGGCGGCAGCTCCTGCATTGAGCATCTGTCCCCTGGTGATCAGTGTGCATCATAGTGACTGGTCGTTCAGCTGTCCAGTCGATTTGCATATTAGGGTTTTATTATATAGGATTAAGATATATATGGAGTAGGGCATTCTTTAAATATATGCCATGCAAACTTATTTTAATTATTGATAGTAAGGCTAGCATTTGTCCCAAACTTCAAATGTGCTTTCTATTATCAGATCTCTTAGAAATTTATTGCTATAAATTAAAAATATTTCTACAGTTGTCACTATATTGACTGTAAAAAGCAAACACTTTAAATAAATCCTTAGAAAAATGTAATAGAAGTAAATGAACCAAGGTATTGGATACTTACTGTAGTGTATTTTCTGACAGCAGAAATAAATGGAAACAAGAGGAGAAAAAGGCAGTGATATAATAAAAATAAAATGTTATAAAAGGAAAGAAAAATGTCAATGGAAAGGAAATACAAGCTGAAGATGGACAGTATTTTGTGATGTACCTTGAAGCCAGTCTACACCTTCTTGCAATCCTTCTCCTTTTATGGCATCACTAGCACTGAAATAAAATCCACAAGAAATATATCTATTTCATTACATCGTAGAACTATAAGAATAAATAATTGCAATTTTTCCATGTGGCAAATCAATATATTCTAGTAACACATCTCTGAGCGAAACTGGTTAAGCAATGAAACTGAATGTATATAAAAAAACAAAAGTCTGAGCATCTTGGAGCAAGAAAATTATCCATAACTTATATTAACATAATTTTTATGACATTTGGAAAAGTGTATCAATAAAAAGTTATTATTTTAGGAACAGTACTCAGACTGACATTACTTTGAGTAATTTTTCCAGTGGTGGAAAAGTTTTACAGAGTCCCCCTTCCTATCTTGCTCAGACCCAATGACTCAAGAGCAGTTATTTATTAGAAATGCTTGACTTAGGTTGTAATTTAGCCACAGGATGCAGTGACTTTTTTGAAATGGAGTTTTATATCTACAGAGTATAAACCTATAATTATAACTTTGGTAAACTGGTAGAAATTTAAAAAAAAAATCCCAGTAGATTTCAATAATAGTTTTTTATTTATTTTTTTTATTTTTTTATTTTTTAATATATTTTATTGATTTTTTACAGAGAGGGAGGGAGATAGTTAGAAACATCGATGAGAGAGGAACATCGATCAGCTGCCTCCTGCACATCTCCCACTGGGGATGTGCCCGCAACCCAGGTACATGCCCCTGACCGGAATCGAACCCGGGACCCTTCAGTCCGCAGGCTGACGCTCTATCCACTGAGCCAAACTGGTTTTGGCTCAATAATAGTTTTTTACTTATTGGTTTCAGGAATCTAAATAGGTTATTTAATTCTTCTGTCTTCAGTTTTAGCATCTGTAAAATGGGGAGATATTATAATTGACTTCATATGGTTATTAAGGAAATGAAATATTTGAGATATGTATATAAAACAGGGGTCTTTTCACAGTCTTAGAATGAACTTAAATCCTTATTGTGATATTTTATAAATAATTATAATTAAATTATAAACTAAGAGAATAAAATAGAAAGGATTTTTTGAGTATCAATTTTTTCCAAGACACAGACTGATTGATAGTTTCTCATAACATTTCACTGATCCAGTAGTTATTTCCTTTCAAAATATAATCATGTAATAGCAATTAGTATACATAATTAGATTTTCTGAATTAGGGTTTCTTTTAGTGTGCTGAAGCATGATTTTAAAATGTACTAAAATAACCTAAAGGAGTTAATTTGATTCTAATCAAATCAGAAATTTCTTCTAAGGAATTACTTATTAGATTAAGAATATGACATATTTTAAAATAGGAAGACAGAAACAAACAGCATGATACAAAATTATTCAAAGCAAACTGTGGATTACCCATATCAACAGCAAAACATCAGTAACTAAAATATTTATATAAAAAAAGATCAATGTATTGATTTTATCACACACCTATAGTCCCAAGTAAAACTACAGTATCAAATAAGTAACATAATGAGGAAATCCTTCCGTTTTGGTGGAGGAGTCACTACCTTACTAAAACCCTGCATCTTTTCCTACTAATTTCCAATGGTTTGAATTTTACTTTCTTTTCAAATAAATGATAAGAACTGTAAATAAATAAAAGCAAAGTCTTCACCACGTCCAGCAAGGCCCTAGATCTCTTGCTCCAGTCAGCGTGGACTTCTTACTATTCCTGAAATACACCAGGTACATCCTCATCCAAGAGCCACTTGCTGGCCTGTCCACCTGGAAAGCTATTCCTCCACGCCTGTGTGAACTGCTCCCTGACTTCAATTAGATTCCAGAGAGGGAGTATCTCTTATCATTTTTATCTTATTGTCCTGCTTTATTTTTCTTCACTTTTCCCAGCTGACATTTTATACATTTATTTACCTCTTTTACTATCTGTCTCTCTTACAAGGTAGTAAATAAGCAAAACTATACACATATCACAGCAGGGACTGAGTCAAAGAACACACAGGAAGAACAATACTGCAATCAGATCCTGAAAATCAGAGTCGACTATACATCTCTATAAACTTTTATTGCCAGTAAATTTACTTGTACCGAAGGCGAGATGCAATATTTTATCTCTACATCACTGTACATTACCTTTATCTCTAAAATTGTAAAAGGAGGATAAATGTATTTTCAATTTTATACATGGTTTAAAAAATATTGCAAAAACATAAAAAAAAACTTAAAACAAATGAAGCAGTAATGAAAATTTAGTGAAATGTCCAGTTTGAATTAAAGTGTCAAAATTATGGGCAAATTTAAAGAAATACTTGGCATTCTCCTATAAATTATACAAAAAACACAGCAACTGGAAATATAAGATTCCACATCTTTATAGCATCAGGATATTACTTTGTATCTCACTGAAAAATATTTAGATGTCACAACTGAGTAAATTTTTTAAATTTCAAGGACTAATTATTTTAAGTAGAGATTTTTCCACTTGCAAAATTAACTTCTACTTCAAAATTAAAAGGACTGCATCTTTGACCTAACCGGTTTGGCTCAGTGGATAGAGCATCAGCCTGCGGACTCAAGGGTCCCAGGTTCGATTCCGGTCAAGGGCATGTGCCTTGGTTGCGGGCACATCCCCAGTAGGGGGTGTGCAGGAGGCAGCTGATTGAGGTTTCTCTCTCATCGATGTTTCTAACTCTCTATCCCTCTCCTTTCTCTCTGTAAAAAATCAATAAAATGTATTTTTTTTAAAAAAGGACTGCATCTTTTACTAATTACACCCATGTTTTTGAACGTTATGCTTTCTATCAAAGCACTCACAATACTTAATACAATGGAAAAATAAAAATTTATTCTACTTTAGATATTACCAATTTAGATATGATTTACCTAAATGATATAGAGAAACGCAAAGGTTACATCTTACGGTATTTCTCTATCCCCAAATCCCTCCTCTCTTTATCAACAAAATACCACAGAACCTCAAATTCCAAGTGAAGAAGCATTTAGGACACACTAACTTTTCTTCTGATTCTGGAGTAAGGAGGGTTTAACTGAGATATGCAGTGTTTCACTCCTGGGTAGAGGTCATGAATACTGAGGAGTTTCAAGGGTTTTCTCAGCTCTCTTCTATACTATTACTCTTTCAGCACCAAGGTTAGCTCTTCACATTCTTCTCTGAGCTCTACTAAGTCTTCACTTCATATTCTGTTTCTTCTTCTAAAGGCAGTGGATTTCTCCGCCTCTGTGTGCAACCTTTTCCATAGATACTATCTTATAAAAAGCGAGAAGGGAATCTTGTAGTGGTGGGGAGGTAGGTGGTGGATAGAGGGAGCTTAATGACAGATAGTAGCAGGCACTAAAAAATACTATCTAATAAACAATGTAAAATAAGTTCAGATACTATTTATGATTTCAACCTTATTAGTATGTTCATACAAGGTTAGTATTTCCATTTATATTTATTCATATAAACAATATTTATTGCGAACCTACTAAGTACCATGTACTACTATTTCAGGGGTTGCAGAGTGAAAATAAAACCCTAGTCTCATGGTGTTAATGCATTAGTGTAAGAAGACAGACTGTAAAACAGAAAACAAGAAAACAAGAAAAAGAGGTCACATGGCAACAGAAAAAGCAAATTAATAAGGAAAAAGCGAGGCAGGGTAAGGCAGAGTGATATTTTAGACAATTATGAGGGGAGGTCCCTCTCCTGAAGGGACTGCAGTAACAAGCCAAGAACATTATTTTGCAGAATGATGTACACAAAGGGAGTAACAAGTGGAAATGCCTTGAGATGGGATTGTAGCTGGCTAATTCAGTGTACAGAAATCAGCATGGCTGAAGTTGGTGAGTGAGTAGGCTGTTTATTCTTGTAAAGAGTTATTTATATTTTTCTATCCCCCAAAAGATCTGAAAGGTTTTAATAGTAATAGGTTCATAAATACCTGCAATGCCACATTCTATAAAACAAAATCCTTAGCTTACATCCTACCAAGTTAGATCACTTATAAAATGAGTTTGGAAAAGAAACACCGAAGCTTGAAGATTTTTTCAAAATGATAAAATGAAAAATAAATCTACAACTTTACCAAATGTGCCATGGCTTATCTTTGATGTTCTCTAAACACAGCAACTGAGACACCTTTACAGATGTCACTGCATCTCTAAGGTCCATTTTGTTTGCAAAGAATAAGATTGGTATTCGGCGGTGCTTAATATCTGAAATAGAAAATAAGACTTTCATCATACTTGCAGCCTTATGGTCATTTCCCCCTAATTCATTAAAATTGAAAGTCACTAAAATTGTTTTCCAATCAGTTCTTTCTATACCACACATACATAAACTTTTAAAGACATAAACTGTCAGGCATATTTAAGTGATATGAGAATTTAAAAAATACTTCTTCCAAGCCTTCTGGTTGGAGTTTTAAAACAAAGACAAGAGAAGTGGATCTGGGGGCTCATTAAGCAGGTACTGAGCTGCACCTAAAAAAGGGTCAAATACGTAGTTTGTTCTGTTTTTCGGTCAACACAAAGAAGGCAAACTAGAACTAGGAGGAAGATGAACTGCATCCCAATTTTAGTTTCTAGTCACAGTATTATAAGTAATAAGCTAAATATTTTAAGAAGATATTTATGCCAAAACCGGTTTGGCTCAGTGGATAGAGCGTCGGCCTGCGCACTGAAAGGTCCCAGGTTCGATTCCGGTCAAGGGCATGTACCTTGGTTGCGGGCACATCCCCAGTGGGGAGTGTGCAGGAGGCAGCTGGTCGATGTTTCTCTCTCATCGATGTTTCTAACTCTCTATCTCTCTCCTTTCCTCTCTGTAAAAACTCAATAAAATATATTTAAAAAAAATAAAAATTAAAAAAAAAAAAAGAAGATATTTTTACTTGTTACAGTGTATGAAACATTTCTCCCTGTTTTGAATAGATAAGTCATTTAAATAGTTCAAAACTCAGAAGACACAAAATGGTGTGCAGTAAAAGGATCTCCCTCTTACCTTTGTCCCAGGCCATTCACTTGTCCTCCCTAGAAGAGGCAACCCATAGCATCCATTATATGGAGTCTTTTTAGAAATATTTTATATGTTTGTAAATAGTTATATATGACTAGAGGCCCGGTGCATGAAATTTGTGCATGGTTAGGGTCCCTAGGCCTGGCTTGCGATCAGGGCCGATCTACGGGGTGACCAGTGGGGCGATCGAGGGGCCCCCGCTGGCACCCGCCCTGGCTGGCCTAGGGCCTGCGGGCAGCTCCTGCATGGAGTGACTACCCCCTGGTGGTCAGTGCATGTCATAGTCATTCCAGTCATTCGATCTATTTGCATATTAGGCTTTTTTTTAAAATATAGGACTAGAGGCCTGGTGCACAAATTCATGCATGGGTTGGGCCTGGCTGGCCTGTCTGATGGGGGCCCATAGGGGCGGGCCGGTGTGTGTGGGGGGGTGAGGGGCTGCGGGTGGTTGGCCAGCTGCCCCTGCCCCTGATCGGGGTGTTAGGGGCCAATCGGGGGCCAGACAGGTGGGAATGGGGGGCATTGGGGCCCAGATCAGGCTGGTTGACTGCCATAGTGTGCATCATAGCCACCAGTTGTTCTGGTCACTCTGGTTGTTCCGCTGTTCCAGTTGCTGGGCTTTTATATATATAGATTATTTATACAAATAGTAGCAGACTATTCTCACTTTTTATACCTTTTGCTTTTCACTTCATTTCGTATCTTGGAGACTATTCATTATCAGTACATATAGAGCAGTTTCTTCTTATTTTAACTATTGTGGAATATTCTCTTTTAGTGCTATATATCATAATTTATTTAACTGGATTCAACTGACATATATTTATGTTGTTGCCAATTTTACAACTATAAACAATGCTGTGATGAATAAACTGCAGAACATTTTGTAAATGGGCCAGTATGTCTACTAGATAAATTTGAGAAATGGAATTACTGGGTCAAAGGATATATAAATTGCATATTCTGACAGATAGCTATTATCTACAGAACTGCCTTCCCTTAAAAATGGTATCAATTCACACTTAAACAACATTGTATACGAGTGTTTTCAGTGATAGGTAAAAAGTACTATGAGAATGTGTTTACTTACATTGTTCTGAGAAAAGTCAAGAATCTATATATTCAAAATATGTTTATAATTCCTTTTTTATGAACAAGTTTGACATGTCATGTCCCCATTTTTCTATTAGTCTTTATTTTTTTATTGATTTGTAGAAAAGGTTTAAGTAGTAAGGAAGTAAGTCTTGTAGCTATGACATGAAATACAAATAGTTTTTCTTGTCTGTCATTTGCCTTTGACTGCTTATGGTCCATTTTGCAATTCAAAACTTTTTATGGAGTCATGGTCATTCATATTTTCTCTCTCTCTCTCCCCCCTCTTCCTCCCTTCTTTCCTTTTGTGTGTGTGTAGGATTCTGGATTTTGTGTTATAGTTAGAAAGATCCTCTGTTGCCCCAAAATTATTTTTAAAAATCTCCCATAGTTTCTTCTGCTACTGTAATAGTATAATTTTTACATTTCTATTAGTCCAGCTGGAACTTATTCTGGAGCAGAGAATGTCAGAATAGATAAAAAGAAAAAGAAAGATAGCTACATGATGTTTATAAGAAACACAATTTGAACACACTAACTACCTGAAAGTGGAAGGATGGAAGGAAACATGCTTACGTGTAAGTGAAAGAAAGCTGGCATGGCTATACTACTATCAGACAAAGTAGCTTTAAAAGATGAAGGGTATCATCAAAGAAAAAGAAAGGCAGTAAAAGTAAAAAGTGGTCAATTAATCAAGAAGACAAAACAATTTTAAGTGTGTTTGTATCTAATAAACAAGCTTCTAAACCAGTGATGGCAAACCATTTGAGCTTGGCGTGTCAGCATTTTGAAAAACCCTAACTTAACTCTGGTGCCGTGTCACATATAGAAATTTTTTGATATTTGCAACCATAGTAAAACAAAGATTTATATTTTTGATATTTATTTTATATATTTAAATGCCATTTAACAAAGAAAAATCAAACAAAAAAATGAGTTTGCATGTCACCTCTGACACGTGTGTCATAGGTTCGCCATCACTGTTCTAAACACATAAAGCAAAATATGACAGTATTAAAGGGAAATACAAAGAAATCCACAACCATAGATGAAACACAAATCAAGTTAGACCATATATACTGGGCCACGTATTTTGAAGGGTGAAATCATATAGAACGTTGTTTGATCAAGTGGAATTAAATTAAAAATCTATAACAAAAGATACACACAAATTTCCCAATTATTTGGGAAATTAAATAATATATTACTAAAGATTCCAAGGGTCAAAGAAGAATTCACAAGGTAAGTTAGAAAATACTTTAACCTAGATAATAAAAAAAAAGTTATTGGAATTTGTGACATGTAGCTAAATCCTTAGAGAATATGTACTGCTTCAAACACTTATATTAGAAAAGGGATAAAATCGATGTTTTCCACTTCCATCTGAAAAAGAGACAATGAAATACAAGGGAGTAGACACAGTTCATAATAAATCAAGAGGAGAGAATAATGACAAAAAAGGAAATTTAAAATGCCAGAAGTTCTTAGAAAATTAATAAAACCAATAAACTTTTAAAAAGATTGAATAAGAAGAGAGGGAGGAAACATAAATTACTAATACCAGGAATGAAAGAAGATATATCATATGGATCTTGTAGACATTAAAAGGATAAGGAGAGGATGTTATAAACAATGTTATGCCAATAAATCTGACAACTTAGATAGTACATTAATAAATTTGGTCACAAATTACCAAAAGTGACTGGAGAATAAATATAACTTTAATGGTCTTATATCATTCAAGCACTTGAATTCATAATTCACGCCCCTCACTCCTTCAACACACACACCAAATACTGATGTTGGTATATCACTGCTATATTCTATCTAGCATTTAAGGAAGAAATAAGAGCAATTCTACACAAATCCAAAAATAAAAAATAAAGAGAAAAAGAAGTATATAATCTCCAACTCATTTTATGAAGCCTTTATATCTCTGATACAAAATCAGATGAGGACATAAAGAAAATAAAAAACCAAAACTGGTAAAGTCAGCATCATGTTGGCATGACAGGATCTCCAGTTCTTTCCCACTGAAGTGGGACAGCTATAATTCAACCAAGGATTCTCTGTTTAAAACACAAACATGTCTGAGAATTGTGCACTGAGATAGCTGAAGGTGGACTTAATTTAGCAAACAGTGGAGACAGAATGGTAGGGAGAAGGACAGAGACAGAAGTAATGGGACCCCAGCAGGCATGATAGCAGTGAAGGGTTGGGGTGCAGCCCCCAGTGGGCAGACCAGACTCGAGGGCAGAGACAGCAATCAGAACTGGGTGGCTGGCACACACCGAGGCTGAGCCCAGGGTCAGAGAAACAGTATAAAAAAAATCACTGTGCTTGAAGCTGGCTGGCACTGAACAAAGGGATTCTGCATGTACAGGAATTGGCCCACCCTAATCCCTTGTCCCATCTGGCACTTTAATCCTCAACTAGGCAAATGTCGAAAGAGCTGGGGGGAAAAAACACCATTCCAGCCTAAGTAGTTTGTAGACACGGGTCTAAACTCAGGAGGAAGAGCAGAACCACAGGCAAGAACCGCTCATCCCGCCCACCCATCCCTCACCCATTGCAGAATCGCCTGATAGAGGCAGCTGGGGGCTTCTGGCTTCAGGAAGACAGTGCAAGGAATCAAAGAAGGTTCAAACCCCGCCACTTGCTATACCCAGGAGTGTAGCCCCGAGACTGAGCTGACCAGGTGGTAAAGGGAATATGCAGCCTTTTCCACCAGTGGAAGTGACACCCACAGAGATCCCAGGAGCCCCAGCAGTGCAGGTAAGAGAAAACTTGCGCTGCAGTACCACATTCTGGAAAACAAAGGAAATACCTCTACTTATCAACCTGCGTAACATCCTATCTAATAAAAGAGAAACATGGTAATTAGCCCTACATCCGCTACCCTTCCCATTGGCTAATCAGGGTGATATGCAAATGAACTGCCAGCCAAGATGGCGGCCGGCAGCCAGGCAGCTTGAAGCGAACATGAGGCTTGCTTGCTTCAGTGACGGGGGACTCCAACGTTCCCCGCCTGCCTTGCCGGCCTCTGAGCTTGCAGTTTGAAACATTCTTACAAATATAGAAGCTAAAAAAAACCCCAGAAACCTGCTTT